TTTGAGAAACTGACCTGTGCCTTGAAGTGCTCTGGAGGAAGATTTTTCCTCTGCCTTTCTTCCCTCAGAAAAAAAAAAAAGCCACACATTTGAACAGAATTTATCATTTCTTGTAATATTTTCTATTTTTAGGGTATGTCTGTGTTCAGTATAGAAGGATTGAAAAAGATCTGTGATTTTTCTTGAAGATATGGAGATGTAATAGTGGAGCTAGGAAGTGTCAAAACCAAGACTTTAATGAGAATTTAAGAGTTTGTTCTGAAGTTTTGGAACATTTTAGTTCTACATCGCTGAAAGATTTTTCCTGGTTCCATTCCATGCAAAAAAAGTGGCTGTGCCATTTGCCCAACTTTTCCCAGGGCATTCACCTGAAGCTTCTGTGATAAGGGGTGAAATGTTAACTGTGTTTGCCAGCATGTTGTTTTGTTGTGCTTTGGAACTGGAGTCACAAGGTAGTGGCCAAAGCCCTGCCATCACCTTATGAGTGCTAACAAGAACTGGCCTCTGCCCTAAATGTGAGTATTGCAAGAGCATCCGCTGTGTTTCCCAATGCAGGGACGCATGATAGCAGCCCTGCGTGCATCCCAGAGGAGCCAAGTGTGTTATCTGTGCACCTTGGTGCCATGGGCAGGCACACTGGTAATGGTGTGGCAGTGCATGTTTGGAACCCCAGAATTGGGGATCCAAGGCAGACTGGATGCGTTTTGTGCCAAGGGCAGGAGAGGCAGTTGGTGCTTTTACTGCATCCCAAGGAGTTTGCATAAAATCCGTGCCTTGTTGTGATGCTCTGGCACTGCCTGCTGCGTTACATTTTGCTTTCCCCAGGTATGTGTATGTGTTTAAGTTGGTGAAGTGAGCTGGGTACGCTCTCGGTGCAGCCCCATTGCTCAAAGAGCAATCTGTGGATTGTAGATCTGAATAGACAAAAGGGAGAGAGAACAGGGGGGAGTGACTTGCTTACAGCCATCCAGAAGGAAAGCATAAATCTTCTGACCTGCAGTGCAATGCTTGCTCCCTCAGCACCCACTGCCTCACAAGCAATGTCCCAGATCTTTATGTATGTGATAGTCCCACTGAGTTCAGTGGTGGCTAAGGAAACACAAATATTGTTACTCACATGTGGAGAGTTGCTCACACACTAATCAGATGAAGAGCAGAGATATCCATCTCAGCCTTATTAACTTCATCACACAATTTATCATTGAAGCGGGTAACAGGAGGCTCAATTAGGCACTTGTGATTTTGGCAAGTGCCTGCAGAAGAGTGTCCCATTGTATAATTTTGTTTGCTTTTGGTTTTATACAGTAAAGCACAAATAACGTTTACCCATGAGACAGCCTAGGGACACGCTGCCAGAAATAGAGGCTCCCAACAATTATACAGGATGTTGCTGTGGTGTTATCATATGATTCATCCACTATGAGCACGAACAATTGTTAACCTCAAGACACTCTCACTTTCACGCCCTCTGACACACATACCACTGAGGACAAATATCCTCACGATGAGTAAAACGTTGGGATTGAGATTTTGACTCATAAAGGTCAGTTCACATCAGGTTCATGTGTCAAACCTTAGCCTTGCTGTCCAGTCCTTGAGCAGGGGGATTAAAGGAGGATCTCTGTAAACGGCGCGATGTGCTGCTTAGTAAATCCCTTCTGCATCCTGATTGACCATAGTAATGGCTGTGCATAGAGACTGTCAGAATGGTCCATGGTGGAAACTGCTGAAATCGATTACAGAGAGAATAAATTTGGCCCAGATACCCTGATGCAACTGAGTGAAGGTCAAGACTGAGAAATACATCTAGTAAAGCTGGAAGAAAGATGACCAAAGAGGTTTAGGAGCGTGAAAGATGGTTGCTCTTGGGAAAAACTTCTGTGGAGTCTTTGCTTGAACATAAGCTTGGCAGAACATGAGCTTGGAAGACCAAGCACAGTCGAGAAGCTGGATTTTGAGACTTGTAGTTGTCTTTTCTGGAGGTGCCCTGCAATGGGTAGCAGCTGGATAATGGATGAGCCTCTTTGCAACCCCATGGCTTGCATGCATTTTGTTATCCTGTGCATCATGATGTCTGTCTCTCTTGAAGGTGTTTGAGGGCCACCACTGGCTGTGCCTTTTGCAATTCTCTTAGTATGATTTAACTTAATTCTGGCCCTTCCTTCACAAGTTGGGCTCCAGTACTTGCTGTTGGTCAGCCATCTTTTGCCAGCTCTTTTGCCTTGCAAACTCACATCACTAGATGGCAGTGTAATGGCACACACGTGCCCTGCCTGTACTGATGGGGAGAAAAGTCAAATTTCACCTAAAAAGTTGATGAAATTTAAAATTTGAGTGCAAGGCAACTTCCAACCCTTAAAACAGAAGATAGTGCTTCATCCACCTTCAACTTCCTTAGCACTCACTGCTGAGACCTAGGGCGAAGTCTAATGACCCAGTGTCATGGCTGCTACACCAATTTACAGCACCTCCAGGTTCAGCCTACAGAGCTCAAGTGGATGTCACAGCCATCCTTGCACTTTGGATGCAGTGCTATGTCAGGAAATTTGGAGAAGGTTTAAAATACAAAAGCAGTAAAGCAAATAAGCACAATATTTTCCTTCAAGTTAAACTTTCCTCACTCTTCATTTTTTGCTTCCTCGTGGGATAATGGGGTTTTGAGTTGCTTTGCAGTCTTAGGCCTTGTGGCACAGTAGGTTAAGTAAAGCATGTCTTTTTGCAGTTCTCCACAAATACAGAGGCTCTGCATCACTCCAGCTGATTTTGTAGCCCAGAGGGGAGTTGAGGGTGCTCGCAGGTATTGGTTTGGTTGTATGCAGCATGAACTGCATCCTGTGGGCCCATGGATTTGCAGCGTATATAGTACATGTATTTGTGTATGTTTTCTTAGATCTGGATTAGCAGCCTCATTTATGATCAGGATCTTGACGAGGAAAATGTCATAGTGTAGAAAAATAAACAGGGTAAAAATAAATGGCAGAAAGATAGTCTTCATCACGCTGAACGTCGTCCTTTTTGGACGTCATGAAGACAGCTGTTGGCTGAGAGGGAGATCTGAAGGTCTTTGTTAGGAAACGTTATTGCTGAGATTTTCACTGTTTGGATTTCCTGTTTTCCTCACTTCTGAACCCTTTGGCTTTCTGTAATCTCAGCAGGGTCAGGTCTGGTCATCCGTGGGGAAACAGACTGGCTGAACAACAAGGCTATGTGCTGCAGGAACAGTGCTGGGGAGTCAGTAGGTGAACGGCTGAGCAGGTTATGGAGGCAGCCAGGATCCTCGTCAGAGTCTGCTCTGACCTTCTGCATAGGGCTGGCCATAAGACTTCCCTGTCTGAGCTGCATCTGTCCAGATGAAAAACATCTATCCTTGATTTAAAAACACTGAGTGATGGAAAACCACCCACTGTCCTTCAGGAGCACTTCCAGGGGATAATTGCCTTTGACTGTTCAAAATGAGCATCTTATTTTTGGTCAGAATCTACTTAGTTTCATTTTCCTTGTCACTGTATCTGGTTATACTACCTGTAGGCAGAAGAGCCCTTGTGATTTTTTTTTTTTTAATGTCTTTGATGTCCAGATATGATATACTCCAGAGAATGCTCCAAGATCTGTCATCTTCCTAATAAGATGGGAAGGTCAGAATGGAACCATTTGATCTCTCGAAACCCGTAGTTTTTAAGGAATGTGTCAAAATTCATTCCAGTTTATTCCATTACCTCCTGACTGCACCCAAACTCTGCCTTCAGAAATATAGAATGCATTTAGTAGTCTTAGTCTCAAGCCATGCATGCATGTGTCTTTGTTCCTCCACTGGATGAACACTGTTACATCTTTCCCTGCTATAGCTAAAGCAGTGTTAACCCCAGAAAAGATGAAATTAAACTGATGTAAAGGTACACAATTGAAAATATAGAGAGGCTGAAAAATCCCATCGTGTCCACACTTGGTGACAAGTCACATAATTACACCAGGATAGTTGAAGAGCTACAATTCTGTTGCTGTAGCCCTGATCTGATCCCAGAAAGTGTTTTCATTGGTCCCCTTACAGGTAGGTGTTATTAATGTTATTGTATTGTATTATTTGTGTGGTACTAAACAATTACTTTAAGTGAAATAATTGAGCTGCATCCAACACGTCTGTGTATCAGGTGAGTACTTTCTATCAGTCTAATTCTGTTTGTGCAGTTGGAAGGAAGGGCTCCCATGGCATACGTAGCTTGTATGTGCTGCATGTATCTGATGCAAGCTAAACGTGGTCTTTCCTCCCCATCCCTGGAGTACAACCAGGAGTTCTGCTCAGCATCTCTGCCAGCATTCTCCTTCTCCTTTCATTCCTTCAGTTTCTCCCTTCAAAGGTGGATTTTCATCAGTGAACAGGTTGGATCTGTTCTGGAAGGTGGCCTTCACAAGGCTAATCCGTTTCCCTCCCCTATTACATATCACCCATTTTCTCTTAGCTGTACTTTGAATTTTCCCCAGGTTACTGTGGCACAACTCGTCCATGTTTTTGGGTTCTTTTGCAATAGGGAAGCCCCTCTAGCCACAACTGTCATTAAATGCAGCTTTTCTGTGGGACAGCAGGGAAGATTTTCACAGGGTGCTGTTGAGTTGGTGGAGTTGTCCCAGAGCCTCCACCAAATGCCTTCTTTTTCTTCTTCAAGTTCACAGGTGCAGGGGATGCCATGCAGGGATGTAGGACCGGATGCTCTTCTTATTTATGATGCTGCCTTCACAGAATCGTAGAACAGTTCAGAAAGGATCCTAATGAGAAATTAGCTGGGTTGTATCCGAGTGATTCGTGGTTTTGTGGGAAGGCGATCGGGTTCTTGTGCTGCTGGATGCACAGCGTGATGTTTCAGTCACGTTGCAAAGGGGTCGGGGCTGTGCTACAGGTTGGATGTGGGACTGGGAGACCCAGGGACCTGCTGTGCTGTCCCTGAGCATCATCTCAGCGTGCGCCCAGGCAAGCAGTGTGCCCCATCCTTCCTCCTCCCATGCAGGTGACGAGGCAGCTCCAGCTCTCCCACTCGCTGACCCTCCCGGCAGCACAACTGCAACAGGACGTGGTGATTTACAAGGACGGGGCCAGCAGGAAATTCCTACCTCCACCCCCCGGAGTAAGGAGGAAGCCGAAGCAGAGCCATGACTGAGTCACTCCTGAGTCACTGCGGACGCGGTTCCTGGGGTGGTGCTGGGCTCCCCAGCCCTGCTGCACAGCTGGAGTCAGCGTGCGCTGCTGCGCCGCTGCTGGCCGTGATGGCAGGGAGACGTGGGAGGCTGCGTGGAAGGAATGGCCAGATTGGGTTAATGCTCTTCTTTAATACACGAATAAACAACTTATGGCAGGTGCCTGGCAGGTTAGGGTAATCAACAGGGTATTTATTTGGGATCAGAAAATACACTCGGTGAAACAAATCTCTCTTCTGTGTTTGGCTTACCGCAGGCTCGCTGAAATTGGACTGGGTCATTTGCTGTCTAGTCACAGATAATAAATCAAAGGGCTGAAGAAACTGCAAGAGAAAGGGCATGAACTGACCAAACATTTAGCTTATTGTAGTAAGCATCAGCCTGGCCAAAGTGAAACTTTCCCAGCAAATTTTCACTTATCTCAAATCCAGTTATTCCCCGTGGGCTGCTGAGCTCAGTAAATAGAGGTCACTTTACCTTGACCAAACAATGACTTTGCTATAGTTGGTGCCAGCTATGTAACAGTTACAAAATGTGCTTTAAAGGCTTGCTGGTCGCAGGCTGCCAGGGTGAATGAACCAGTCAGTCTGGTCGCTGTGGGCAGGATTTAGGATGCTTAGTGAGATGGAGCTGTGGTCGGATCAGCTGATCCTGTTCTTTGAGCTGGGATATAGCATGCAGGAGGACGGACGTGCATAAGGAGGAAGCAGAGAGAAGCTGGGGGAGTGGAGAAGGGATGACTTTCCTCTGATGTCAAAAATCCCATCATTCAGTGCTCGCAGGGAGAAAGACAAGAGGAGAAGAATGTGGAGAGAAAGAGGGAGAGAGGGAGAAGAAATGGAGGGAAGGGACGCACTCATTTTTTCCCCTAATTCTGCAGGGTAACGTTTACCACCCTCATACATGGAGAAATGAGCCTGATCTCGAGTGCCAAGTTCTGAGCAGCCTTGCAGCCCCAGGGACTGCTTACATCCCCATCCCGATCTGGACTTGGTTAGTACTGTCTTGATAATGAATAATCAGGTAGATAAAAATGGTCAAGAAACTTACTGCAGTTTCCTCAGGGCTCTCTTTGTGTTATCATTTATTCCTGGCAGTTTTAATTTTCGGGTCATTGTCTGTGTTTGTCTGAGGTGTTAGATACGCATCTCTCCTAGGATTTCTGCAGTGTGGTGAGGAAGGACCAGAGCTGGCTGTGAGTGAGTGTGATCGAGCAGCAGATGCAGGAGGGCTGGAGTTGCCTGCAGCTCTGTCCAGGTTGCTAATTCTTCCTTCCGAGGGGTTGATTTCAAAGGGTGCTGGATTTGTCCTCCGTGCGTTTTGCTGCGTGCCGTTGCTTGTAATTAGCTTTTCAACTGAAAAGGCTTTCTCAACAAGGGGAGGAAAAAAAAAAAAAAAAAAAAAAAAAGCCAAAAAATAACCCCACACATTTTTTGGCAGTGGGTTGTTTTTCTAAGCGATTAATTAAGCGCTGGTTATAAAAGAATTTGCATCTTTCTTCCAGTCTGTGTCAGGCATGGATTTTGTATTAATCACTTCGCTACTCTCTGACTGAATGAGGACTGAAAAAGATGCAGAGAGTAAAAATTTCCTCAGGAAATGAATCAGACAAGGAACCTATGCCTCATCTCGCCTCCTACAAATGAAGAAAGAGAGGATTTTTGTCAATGGTGGGTCAGTTTACAAATGTGTCCTTTGCAACGTGAGTCATAAGCAGTGATACATTTCACAGCAATGCAACCGCAGATGCAGTTTAAATCCAGGACTGAATGCCAGCTAAAGAAAATGGGAACGAACCCTCATGCCCATCCTAGTAATGGGAGCAAAAATGCAACCTGTCAGACCTGCTTGTACATCAGCCAGCTTTCACTGCTGCTTAAACCAGTGTCAAAATTCTCGCTTGCTGTAATGGGAGCAGAATAGAAACCTCGGGACATGATGATGTGATTTGATTGCGTTTTGCTGATAAGCATGGAAGTGGTTTGGGTTCTTACCTGGGAGAGGACCTGCCCCACCATGGGTGGTTGGGGGAGGATGGGCTTCAGGTAGAGGTGAATGGTCCCTGGTGGATGTCCTTTCAGTGAGGGCATGGGATGGAGGTGCTGTTTCTGGGGCTGTTTGAATCACTTTACTGAGATGTCCAAAATTATCTCCAGTTCTTGTTTATCTCCACATTATTATTATTATTATTATTATTTTTCCCCCTGAAGCACCATCCAGGTGCCATTCCAGGCCAGCTGGATGGGATTTTGAACAGCCTGGTCTAGTGGGAAGCGTCCCTGCATATAGCATGATCTTAAAGGTCCCTTCCAACCCAAACCATTCTATGATACTTTGTTAGTATTATCATTGTTAAGAGCTGTGTGTAAAACTGCTGTCAGAATTTGTTGTTGTTGTGGGTGAGATTATTAAATTTAGCAGAAAATCTGAGCTGAAATCTAAAAAATGTACTTTTTCATTGGTGCCACTTTCCCTTTATTTCCCAAGACTGCCCCTTACAAGGGTGGTACTCATGTTTTTCTTTACTGAGTTTTCTGTGGTCATCTGTAGCTTGCCAGCCTTTGGAAATGTTAGGTGAGGGGTCAGATATTGAGTCAATCCACCAAAGTCAATGGTGTGATCACTGTTACTGGCCAAGAGCTCTCTGCTGGTGTCCTAAAGGGTGATACGATGAGCAGCCGAGATGCTGAGGGACTTTTCTTTAAGGACCACGGCTATCCTTGGGGAGATCTTTATGTTAAACAGGTTAGTAGAGGAAGGTGATAACATTTATTTATTTGTATACGTGCGACCTTTCTGTCTGCAGGCACACAGGCCTGTCAAGTTTGCAAATATCAGCATGTTCCTTTGTAACAAGATAACATTGGGCCAGCACCAAAAGGTTGGACATGGGGTGGAGAATGGCAGACCTTGATTCAAATTCAATTTCTAAGTGGCTGGCCGCTCAGAACCGTCAGATCAGTCCTCTTCTCTGCAGGGTTAAACATTTCCTCTTACAAAAAGAGCCAGAGGCTCTTGATTATCCATGCAAAGCAGGCCAGCGCTTTGATTTGTAAGGTTTTGTCTGACACACTTTTAAATGGATGAAGCTCAATTTAGATTCCAAATGAAAACCTAAATTTGATGGTTGAGACATAGACCCACTTTTCTCTCTTATCCCGAGGCACCGTTCTCCACCCTTCCCCTTTCCTCTTCAAAAAGTGATACTGCCTAATGCTTTGAACCAAGAAAGCGCGTTTCAAGATCAGCGTGGAACAATTAAACCAATGATCTGTGCGCTTCAAGGGGAAAACTGAGCTGCAGTAGCTCTGCTTTGACAGGTCTTTGGAGGATTTCAAGGAAGTTACACCCACTTCATTCATGATAATCGGCTGTTTAACGCAGAGCAGCTCAGTGTTATGAATGAGAGGGAGCATGTTTTGGCTTGCAGAACAACTCACAAATCTAATGCTTCACTCGTCAAATAACCAGCCACATAAAAAAAATAAATCTGACTTCATTCTTGAAATGAAATTAATGAATGCAAGATTCAGTGGAAAAAAAACCAAAAAAACAACCAAACACCTAAAGCCGCATCCTCTCTTTCTTTCTGCATCCTTCTCTTTACTGTGGGTTTGTGAGTTGCTGTGGCTGGAGGATTTGGGGTAAAGCAGCACAGCCTCTGAGCTGACTGTGCAGCTGAAGGCAAGTTTTGGGAGGGAATCATGCACTAGATCACAACACACCTACTTGCTGGATTTGAGATCGTGCTGGTATCAAAAGGAGGCTGTGGATGCCCCATCCCTGCAGGCATTCAAGGCCAGGCTGGATGTGGCTCTGGGCAGCCTGGTCTGCTGGTTGGTGACCTGCACACAGCAGGGGGTTGAAACTAGATGATCACTGTGGTCCTTTCCAACCCAGACCATTCTATGATCGAAAGGGAAGCAGAAGAAAAAGGTTGATTAAGAGTTGTATGTGGATCTACCAAAGTACCAGATTTTCATGTGGATGGGTTGTTGGGGCTCTGAGAAGCACTGGGTTCTGTGCTTATGCCTAAGTAGCCCTGCTGATCAGAATTCTTTATTCTGAGAATAATATATTATCTTTTGCTTATTGAAGCTGGCTTGCAGAATACCACTGTTTCCTCTGGTAAGGGAGCTGCTCTGCATCAGATGCCTTCGTGCTCACTGGCAACACTGGGCTTTTGGGCTCCAGAAAGTTGTGGATGCTGATGGGACTCTCAGGGGGATTCACTGCAGTTTAAAACCTCTCAAATGAAAGGCAGGAGAAAGGATGCCTTAAGGCTGTCTCTCTACCCGTCCCATATTCACAGTTCATTTGCTAATAAAATGGCTTTCGGGAGGAGCGAAGAGCACATCCATCCTGCTGGCTCTGTTTTAGCAGGCAGAGATTTGCTGGTGCCTGGGCAGGAAGGAGTACAGTTACTTTGATCAAATAAACACCAACAGGTGGTTGCGAAACCTTTGACTTGAATCTGAATGGAATGTTTATTATTTGTAGTTCCGAATGAAATGTGTATCATCATTTCCCTTGCTGGTTCTCATCTGGATTCGGGATGAGACGGCCAGATGGAATAGTTATCTTTTTAGCAGTATTTTACAAAGCACTAATTGTTCTCACCATTTTTCTTCTGAGAGGATGATGCCATCAGGTTTATCTGAGAAGCACATGGTGAGATACATAGGTTGAGTAAGGGATGTTACCGAGAATGAATCAGTGGTAGGGCAGTCGTGGGAGAACTGTGCACCCCATAATACTCAAACGGTGCATGCACTGAACATTGTGCCTGTGTTTCTGGAATGGGCCTCTCTGAAAAAGTGAGTTTTGCTGCAGAGGAAGCTAAACAAAATCAATTGGAGAAAAGTCGATTCCATGTGAAGTTCTTTCATCTTTGTTCAACAGCTGAGAGCCTCTGATGGTAGGTGAGAAAAAATATTTTCTCATCCTTTTTGCACCAAAATAATTCCCAGAACAATATTCAGCTAAGGCTGGGATCTTGTTAGAGCCCTTTCCACTTAGCAGGAGATAAAAAGGGCAGGTTGGCCATAATCCCCTGTGCTGTGCCCTCCAGGGGAAGAAGAGTGAAGGCAGAGCAAGGCAAGAGTGGCTGTCTGGAAGGGAAGGTGTGTGAGGATCACTTCTTTGATTGCTAAATGCAGCAAACTGATCTTCTCCTTTTGTCTTCTGTTCTCTAGGACTGCATGTGGGGAAATCAAGACCTGAGCAGATCCTTTTTTATTTCCATTCAATCTCAGGGTGAGTAAATTTGCTTGCCTTTACTGTTGCTGTCTCACCCTGTGCAAATAAGAGATGTGACTTAAGGTTCAGAGGAGAATCTCTCTCTTTTTTTTAATCTTTGCACTGATAAAACTGTGCTTAATTTAGCAGCAGTGAGGCAGAACGTTTGGATTTTGTCATCCATTTCCAAAACTATTGTTGGCTTCCTATTTCTTTGTTCCCCCCTACGGCTCATTTTAGATTTGCATTTTATTGTAGGTGCCAAAAGATAAGTTAATGCCAACCTGATGATTAATTAACTAATACTTGCCTTTGCCCTAAGATGGAAAACCTTTATCTAAGTAACCTATTAATTATTATTTTATATATTTCTGCATGGGTACATCTAAATGGATTTGAGTTTTGCCCTACTGAGAAATTTGGGCAATAATTCATTGCAATCAGAGGACAGAAGGCCAAAGGAACCCTAAAGTTGGTACCAGAAAGTATGTCTTAATGCTGGGTCCAGGGCACTTCTTTATCTATATTCAAGCCCCAAGCAACATCGTGGTCTTGTTGTCAAATTATTGGTAATGCACATTCCTGAAGCTTTCTGATGTGCTCAGAAATGCAAAAATCAATGAAATAGCTTGAGTTTCAAGAGGCTATGAGAAATGCTGAGGCCTTCAGAAGGTATCTCAGCCTCACTGAGGAGAAAGTTGTGCAAAAATCACACCTGGGAAACAACCAACCTGCCTGACCTGGGCCACAGGGGAAACTGAAGTAGTGCTGCAGAAATTATTCCAAGTGCCATAAATACGTAGCATTAATACAGGGCCTCGGATATCAATAGGTTTAATAGAATAAATGAAGGAAAATAAAGCAAATGGCATTGAGCATTGGTAGGAGAGATATTGGTGGTGAGATTGGTGATTTCACTCTCCTGAAGCTACGGTTGGACAGTAGCAATGAGGTGGTTGCACACTTTATGGCCCTTCTGAGAATCTTGCCAATGGGCAAAAAATAACTCTGTGTTAGGCATACCAGGTAATGTTCCCACCATGGAGGAATGGCAGGACACCATACAGCAACAGATGCTTAAGAATTAGAAGGACATAAAGATGACTTGACCCATTTTTTTAGGTCATGGTTGGACTGGATGATCTTTAAGGTCTTTTCCAACCTGAGCGATTCTGTGGTTTGTAAAGGGCCTGTGGAGATTTGAAATTCTCCCTTTTGCTCTGAGATTCTCTGCTTCTCTGCTTACGCATATTCTAAGAGATGTAACACATCTAACTGATGTCTTGAAGTTATCAGAGGTGAAATATTGAATGCATATCTGCCCACCATGTAGCATAGTGGATAACAAGTACGGCTGTAGATAGGATGATAATATAGCTTGTGAACTGTGCATCTTATGTGATAAGTATATTGTTCTGCTGCTGTTGGATTCTGGGTCCAAATGCTTTTTGCTTTCATTGAGCCCTGTGGATGAATATTTTGACACCTGTTAATCTGCTGAATTTGTTTCGCTTAAATTAGAAGTGTAGTGATTTCTCAGAAGTCTCATAGCCTACCCTTGACTTCATGGGATCACTCTGCTGGTGGATTGTGTGAACAATGTGTTATTTTTAGGGTGAAGGGAAGGAAGGGACATAAATGGCAGAACCAGAAGGTGAAGGAAGAAGAGGCTGTGTGGTTCCTAAATGGAGCTGCCTGGGAAATAGGGGGGCTTGGTCAGGCTGGGTGTCCCATGGGAGGGTTGCCTTTTTCAGAAGGGTGGTTGGCCACAGAGAGGAGTGGTGACAGCAGCCTTCAGGTTGGATATGAGGAACAATTTATTCTCAGAAATGCAGTGGTAATGCATTGGCTTCCCAGGGAAGTGATGGGGTCACCATCCGTGGAGATGTTCAAGGAACGTGGAGGGGTGGCACTGAGGGATGTGGTCTGTGGGCATGGCTGGGATGGTTGGGGTTGGACTTGGGGATCTTAGTGGTGTTGTCCAGGCTCTCTGTTTCTGTGATTTGAATCCTGCTGACTTCTGTCCTTGGTCTCCACACTTTCTTAGGGGCTTAGCTCTTTTGTGGAGATATCTCCTCTTTCTCTAGGTCTGTGCTCTCTCCTAAAAACACCTTCTTTTCCCCTAAGGTCTACCCTCATTCTCTGTACTTTTTTCCACAAGTCAAAAGACCTGAGCTTTCCTGGAGGTTTTTTCTCTAGGCGTTGTTTTTTGCAGGGCATCAGCTGAGCAGGCTGTAGTACTACTGAGGCTCATTATTATTATTGGCACATTTACAGTGTCAGAGAGAGGAGAGTTCTGCAGTGGCTGTTGAGACAATTATTTGCAGTGTCTGTGCAAGGAGGGCTGTGGCTGTGATAGACTCACAGTTACAAGCACATCTGCAATATGAGAGTCAAAGCTCAGGATTATTATTATATTATTATATTGCCCATCAGTCTGTGTTCTGATGCTGCTCACTTATGCATGCTGGGAACATAGTGCTTAGGGAATGGCGTGTCACAATCCTCTTGTAGCCCATCAGCAGCACTGCTGGAGGACCTCAGGAGACTCTAAAAGGAATGAAATTGTATCAGTCTCTCTTTTTCTTTCCAACAACCAAGGATACTCACCGTGATTACATTGCTGGAGCTTTGTAGGAGGTTAAGAGCTTAACAAAGGGTCTTTGTCACACGAGATGAGCTGTCAGGAGAGATTCCCCAGAGATGCTGCTCCTCTGAGAGGTTCACACACCGATGTTCTGGGTGCCACAAGCCAAGCACAGCACTGCACTGTCCAGTGGATCAAAAACCAGCGTTTAAATGCTTTCAGCAAGTAGTGTGTAGTTTTGGAATATGTGAGTCCTTGTCTGTGCTTGTGGCAGAGGAAATAGGATGGGAGTGCCACACATGCATTTCACGTTGCTTGGCCTTGCTCCAGCTTTCTAGTGAAAGAAGCTCCCCTGGCTGAGGTTAGGAGCTGTGCTGCGCGACGGGTAATGCATTAAGCCCTGCTCCTCCTGTTTGTCAGTGAGTTTTCCAGTACCCTTAAGCTGAGATAGGTATTGAGAGTGTAACAGCATTTAATACAGAAGAGATCAGGTATGGGCGTGGGACAACAGATGCCTTCACTGATAGAGATTCTCCCATTCAGCTGTCTTTTAAATGAGGCACAGATGTCCTGAGTTCCAGTCTATGCCTGAACCACAAGACTGAAGGGAGGAGTGAATATATGTTTATTTGAGCCCCTCGTTGCATTGCTGGCAATGTATTGCTAGTTTCCATTCCTATTTTTTGTACTCTTAGCAATCTATTTGCTATTGCCCTTTTCTTCCACGCTCAGCCAGTAATCAACACACTCCAAAACACAATGGGTTCCTTTCTGCGGTGAATCCCCTACTTGATGCAAATGTTTTCTGGCCTCATTTCTTTGGGATACGTTTCAATGGGAAGAAGAGGGGAAAGTATTCCTTGTTCCTAGAAAAAATGGCACTGGCAGCCTGGGTTATTTTGTCGGACGTGTGGCTTTAAGTGACGCCTTTGCCATCTGTTCTGTCTGCTAATTATGAATGCAAAGCAAACGTAGCCCACAATTGCTTCATTTAGAATAAGGGAGATGGCAGTGACCAAAATAGTTTTATTTTGGTGTCAGATGCTCTTTGTATTTCTCCTGTCTCTTCCTAATCTAAAGCAGGTCTGAAGCACTTCTCTCTCTGGTCTGCAACAATAAACATTGCTGTGACAAACCAACCATCTCCTACATGTACATCCTCAGGGTTTTTTAAGGAGCGATTACACAAAAGCAAGGAATAGGATGATATGGCATTACTTGAACTGAGAGGGCTAGTTTTGGACTACAATTTCAACTGCAGTTGCTCTGGTTTTAGATATGTGACTCAGAGAGGCATCACTTTATCTCTGGAAGGTTTGACAGCAACACGTGCAGCACTTTGTCTGCTCCATCCCTGTTCCCTCTCACCCAAGGCAAGTTCTGTACGCCCTCTGGAATCCATGGTGCTCACAAACGATGTGTTCTCCTCTTGGTTGTGTCCAGCAGCCGACAAGGTGAATTGTCTTTGTTTTTGCTTGTGGACCAGAGGCTTTTCTCCTTTAGCGACCCATCACTGGAGATGGGTGACCCCCTCTTTCAGTGCCTCAGCAGGGCCCAGGCTATAGGAAGCACAGACAGCTGTGCCCCCTCCGTTTACTAATTATGGGCTACCAGCTTTCAGTATTGCTAGAGTTGGTGCTGATTTCAAGCCAGAGCTGGGCGGTGTGGCAAGTCGTGGATGTATCACCAGCAGCACAGCCATGGGTTGTGGTGACCTAGATTTACAAAATGGAGATGAGATAAAATGTTTGCTGTGCTCTGCTCTAAGGGGATGTGTGGCCAAAAAGCCGAAGCGCTGAAACAGTTTCTCTTTGAGTCGTCTGAAAGTGAAAGATGCAACTTGCCTTTCCCAAGTAAGTGGCAATAATGATGTGAGCTAGGCTGTGATCTCCTTGGTTTCACCTGTCCTCTCTCTGGGCTCACACCACGGAGGATGTGGACAAGTGGCCATGGGGGTTCTTTTCCTTCTTTCCTAAATAGGACTGGCAACTTGCAGATACACATCTGCTTTGCTCCAACCCTCCTTGCTTTGCTATCAAGCATGCAGACACATTTTTTACCCCTCCTTCCTTCCTTCCTTCCTTCCTTTCCTCCCCAGCCATCACTCTTGCTATGATGATCAACACGTTTCACTTCATTTTCTGCCTGCTTCTGTGTTGGAATGAAATAGAGTTGCAGCACTACCTACTAAAAAGCAATGTTTTGGACAGCAGAAGCCCTCCTTTCTTTCTCTCTGCAATCTTCTCCAAGAACTTGCAGGTTTGCAGTTAAATAATCCTTTTTTAAGTTATCTTGAGCTTTTATGAAGAATATGAGTAGGAGTTCTGATGGCTTCGTTGTTGCCCCTTTGTGGTGGCAGAGGGAAGGAGTGCAGGGGGGACCCTATGAACATTAAGATACTGCATCTGGAAAAATCTCTTGGACCATTTTCAGCTCCCAACCAACTGTCCTGGCACAGCTGAGGCAGAAATAGGCTCAGTGTGAGAGTTAAAGATTTTTTTTTTGGGTGTTCTGGGCCCAAAGGATGATCTTGTGGTTTAAGCATTTTGGACTGGAACCAATAGACGTGAGATAAATTCCAGACACTGTTGTGCACTTCCTCTGTGACAACTTCTGAAAACCATTCCTTCTCGCTGTGCCTCCACTCCCTGCTTGTAAAACACTGCTCTCTGCTCTCACGAGTTTAATAGTGAATTTGCAGTTCTGAAAGCTCCTGATACGTGACTCAGGTTATTTTCTAAACATCTTAACTTTCAAGTTAAAGTGGTGTTCTAACCCGTGCAGCTTTAAGGGGCCAACAGTTTAAAATATGAAAAAAAAGGCACAGAAGCTTAGACAAACTTCTAGAGCCCAGTGATTAATGCTAGTTAGTCAGCATGATGACAGTAAGAGCAGCCTGGTTCAGGATGGTTGAGGTTAACAATACTGGGAAATGAAGAAATGAAGGTAGGGTTCAGTTGGATCCTCTGGATTCAGGTGGAGATGTAGGAAATGAATGTCTGTGAATAACTCTGAAAGCATGACCAAGAAGAGACAATTCTGCATGCCCACATGGCTGTGCTTTGGTATGTGTTAAAAGCAGGAGATCAGATTACTGAGATCTAATTCTTTGGAGAATGACTTTGTGAAGAATGGCCCTGAATGGGATGAAGGTTTGACTCCCTGGTATGTGGTAGGGAAACCTCCCACCTTTGTGCCAAGAGGGAAGGAAGACTGGAGTCTTCCATAGCGTTGGGTGTCTAGAATAATGTGTACAAACAGTTGTCCAGTTTTTGGCTGTAATGTTTCTGGTTCGAAGTGTTGAGGTCTTACAAACATCAGCGTTTAACGAAACATCTGTCTCACATGGTTTATGTCCGACTTCCAAATCCAATGAGCTGCCAGTCAAGCTATTTCTTTGCATTCTCTCCTGGAGGACTGCATTGCTTGGAGCTCAGCAAATCTGTGGCCAAAGGAGCGAACCTCCCATGGAATAATGCATAAGGAATGTGTAGGTGTGTGCAAACGTTCTCCCTGGGGGCACGTGGCAGGCAGTGGCAGCTCCAGGTAGGGCTGGGCAGCCTGGATGAGCTGCACGTGCCCGCTGTGAACTCAGCAATCTGCATGCCTCCTGCTGTTAGCTGGGGGTCTGCTGAGTGCTGATGGCTTTCCAAAGGGCTGGCCATAGATTGATGCTCATCCACGTTCTTTCAAGATGTTTTCTGTTGCACCTGGATAATGAAAACAAAATTGCACATCCTTGGATATATCATACAGCCTGGGATGCCGGAGTTGGAGCATCACAGCAGCTGCTTTTTGGATAAGCAGCTGTGATCTGGGTTTGCATAGTAGAGGTTGGATAGTAGAAAAGGTCCCTTGCATCTGACACTGTTTTGTTTTTCCCCTGTGAGCTGTGTGAGGTTTTACACCTGCGTGCTTCTGTCTCTCAGATTAGACCCACAAGTTGGGACTCTGGGTCTCTTGTTGCTTCCCCTGTGCTGTGGTAAAATCCCACTGCCAGGGGCTCGTGGTCTCTGGGAAGGCAGTGCTGTACTTCACCTTCAAGTGATGTGAGGGTGTGTTTTGCCTGCATGAGATTGGAGAAGGTCTTTCTCATTTGTCTGTCACTTGGAGACATTGGTGATAGGGGCAACACAAAGTGGTCCAAAATTATTTCTCTGTTGGATCTGCTGTATTTGTGACTCGTGTAACTCCAAGACAAACTATCCTCTGTCCAACTGTCCATCTGTGGAACGATTTGATATATATCCATCTTTTACTCTTCAGGAGGAACAGAACTTACTGTGAGTGCAGTGTTTTCAGTGAGAGATGAACCATATCAGCACAGATTTTTCCAGATGGCTGTGACTTGACTACAGGCTAGGAGCAAGGGGGGTGTTTTCCTTCTCTATTGAGGATTTTGCCTGTTCTCTGGATGCTTCCAAACGGCTTCTATCTCTGGGTGGCTTTAAAGAGTGATCTTTAAAAAGACTGCACTGTGGAAATGCACCAGTTTGTACCAAATAGTGGGTATTACCCCAAAATATTTGCTTGAGGAGAGGTAACCTCTGAGACCCCCTGCAAGGATTTTATCCCCTCATCTTCAAATTACCGAGTTCAAACACACAGCTAATGAGACACGTAATGATGATAGAATGGAAGTGCTGCTGTAAAGAGGAACGTTTAAAAATAAGGATATACCTCTAACTAGGTCTTACAAAAGGAAGTCTTAAATAGTTGGAGAGAAACAGATGCTTTGGGGGACTTGTGGATAAAAATAGTGGCTTTCAAATTGCAACCAAAACACAAATGTGGCCTCACTTAGTCAACCTCAGTGCTAGAAATTCCTCTAAAAACCAAAGGGCCCAGAGCTGGGAAAGGATGTGAAATACCTGCTACTGCATCTGCAGTGGTTTCAGCATGTTTTTGTGTTTTCCACCTTGCCTTACTTCTTTGCAGTGTTCTGTCTGTAACAGCACCTGGCTGTAACCTTCCTTATGGGACTAAAGATTTATTTAATCGTTGCACAGTGGTCTGAGACCTCTGGGTTCTGTTTTCCTTGGAAAAATGCTGAAGTTGTGTCTGGGCCATGCACGCCTGGTTGTCTTCTCTGTGGTCTGCACAGATTTGGACAGAGCTGGTGTGGTGTAGCTCTGCTTAGTGCTGAGCCTTTCCCTTTCAGGCAGGGCTCTTATCTCAGTTATCTCTCTCTGAGATGAGGGACCAGCTCAGCCTCAGCAGGGCTGGATGCGTAGTGAAGATCCAACAACTTCTTAAAGTCCATTTCAGCCATTTGTGAATGTGTGGACCTGACCTTGGTGTCCTGCAGGCAGCTCTGCATCCAGGCCTTGGAGCATCTGTACACAGGGGCTGAGAAGCATTCAGTTGTGTGGTTTGGTCTCAGTGGAAAAAACACGGTTAGATCAGAGAGAATATTTTTATGACTATTCCTACTTTCCCCTTACTTGTTAGGGCGTTAAAAAAAAAGGCAGACCTTTCTTTTAAGTGGATAGCTTTACTCATTCATGTGGTGTTTTTGTTTCAGGCGGTTCTTCTCAAACCAAAAGAAGCAGTCAGGTGAGCCCAGTATTTTGCTTTCCTGCAGCTCTAAGCTGAGAATGAGAATTGATGTGTGGGAGCAATGCTGGACACCTCTGAATCCCAGGGACTGAGGTTTTGGTGGTTCCATCACCTCCTGACCTCTAACCCACCATTTTTAAAACACACCTTTTGCTCTTTGTCTTCTGTGCAGTGCCACAGACTGGGTTGCTTTGGAGCCGGCATTTAGCGATTAGAACTTTATAATTTTCTCCTTTATTGGTAATGCCCTCACACTGTCATTTGGAGCTGAAAGGAAAGCATGCTGCTCGAGCTGGCCCCACCGGGCGCCGTGATAATGCTCTTATGAGTGAGACTGTCATTAGATTAAGTGGAAGATGCCAGTAGAGTTGTTCTCGATGGCCGGCCTCTCTTTTCTCCACACGGTGCTCGGAGTCCAACTATACTTTTTCTTTCGCATTTCCATATTGTCCCTCCTTTATGCCTTGTCAAGAGCATTAGTCACAGCCGTCCATCTGCATCGTGTATCGCAGCCGAGACAAAGCCAGCGGGATGTGCGGCTGCTCAGCACCCTCAGCCCCGCACAGCACAGGGCTCAGGGCCCTCGTGTGAACAGCAAGCACTGGGGCAGGGAGTGAGCATCTCACCCCATGTGCTGCGTGGCAGTCCTTCTGGAGCTGGGCTAATGGACTCGCCTCTCGTGTTTTTGCAGCTCTGAAGGGAAGAGATGCTCGTTAGGTTCCCATTCTGGAGCATGCAAAGACTTCAGCTGGACCTGAAAGCAGGGCAGTGTGCTGGGGTTTGCTCCAGGGCACCGCCCGCAGCATTGGCTTTTCTGGTGTGTTGCACTGCTGAATTTGCAGACTGTAGATTTGGATTCCCCACGGGAAGAGCCCATCTCGTGAAATGTGGTGCACAAAGCGGTGAAAGGCGGGCGCTGGCTGACTGTCAGTGGGAGAGGGTTGGAGATGGAGAATTGGAAGGAGGGTTTAAGGAGAGTGATGGATTTCCTGCACCCAAATAACAAAGAAGAGGGAAGAAAACCAACACAGATGTGATTTTGTCCTGGCCAAATGATGCTTTGTCAGTCACTGAGGAATGAATTGTGCTGCGCAGCAGCAGTCACCTTCCACAAGTGCTTCAGGCTTGATTTAATATCCCTCTTCCTAAAAGTTGAAGGTGAAAAAATGGTTTAGGGGCACACACAAAGGGGAGGGGAAGAGGGGGAGGAAAAAAAAAGAAGTAAATAAAAGTTGTTTAATATGTATGACTAACCCCACTGTGGTGGGAGAATGAGGTGGGGGGGGATTGCCATGGCTGGGGGGTGTCAGACATGTGCCATGGATGGGGCTGGGAGGGGAGAGGTGGGAAAGAGCGGGCAGGGAGGGAGCGTGGCTGTCTTCATGCATCCGCACAGCGCTTCCTCTTTAAAATTCCCTTACTAAGCTCAGCTCCTATATTTTATATTCAGAATGAAGGTTCCCGCCCCCCCCAGCCCTCCCCACCCACCACCACCCTCTCTCCCTTTAACTTGTTAAGTTTGAAAGATGATATATACACACAGTTTGCTTTGCCAGTCAGCCCGTTTAAGGCCAAGATTAATGCAGTGCATTGGTGCAATCGTGCCGCAGTGGTGCGTGATCGGAATACGAGATGGAATACAGGGGGAAAGGCCAGAACTGTGCCTGTATTCCGAGTTTACACAAGTCTCCTTAGCAACTTGTCTGATTTATATATATATATGTGTGTGTGTGTGTGTGTATATATATTTTTCTTTTTTGTATGGGATATGTGTGCATGCACACGCTGTCCCAAATCACCGGCGGATAAAACATTCCCTAAGTTTTTAAATAGCTCTGCTTGTTTCTCTTGTTTTGTGTTGTTTTACATGTGTATTTTTTCCTTCTCCCTGCCCTTTTTGTCAAATGAGTGGCTTATCAATTAATTAATTAATTTGATTTCCCAGGGTGGGAGGAGGGGAAGGGCGGGGGGGGGGGGGGGGGGGACGACCCGTGGAGGGGTGGCAGCGGGGCTGGGGGGGTGAGGGGGGGTGGGAGCACCGTAATACTTTGCATTGTGACTTCTCCAGAGTTGGTTTCTTTCCAGTTGCTCACATCTCAGCATGTGGAATTATTGCGTTTTCTCCTGATTTGCCACAGAGTTGGCAGTGGGCTGACATGGTTAGTCATTTGAATTGTATTTGGATCCGAGCTGATATTTTTATTTTATTCTATTTTATTCTATTTTATTCTATTTTATTCTATTTTATTCTATTTTATTTTATTTTACTTTTTTTTGGGGGGGGGGGAGGTGCGTTTATTTACTTCGAAACACATTCTTTGCTTTTGAAAATATGCGCCGTGCATTTTATAGCCCGTAAAATGGAGGAAGGAGGGAAACAAATGAGAGAAGGTGAGAGGATTGTGGCACGGCTGTCCCTTCATTCCCCTCCCCGTACCATTTTTGTAGTTGCCTACAGAAGAACCCCCTCCCCATAGGAGGGAGTGGCCTTATAGCGATGAAGGTACGTTGGATTTGTGTGTGTGTGTGATACTGTATGAAGAGCACGGGGCAAGGGAAAGGATGTGGGGTGGGGAGAGCAGGGGAGGGTGGAGAGAGGGAAGAGTTATCCTCCAAGTGCTGTACCTTGAAATAACCCAAGGGAAAATAGTTGCTGCCTCACTTGAGTTGCTTTCAAAATCTTGCTGTGCGCTTTTACTTTTTCTTTTACTTCTTCTATTTTTTTTTTTTGGTAGAGCATGGGGGGGAGGGGAGGGGAACAAAAAAAAGAAAGAAACGGAGCCAAAGAAACAGTGGAGGCTTGATCTTGGCTTCCATACAAACAGATGTTGCCTGTCATTCCGTGGTTAAGCAGGCAGCAGATTGCAGCGAGCAGCAGCAGTTCAGGGGAACTGCAGCAGACCTGGAAAGTGGGAGATGCCTTATAGAAATACCTTTTTTCTCGCTGTTCTGCACATAAGTATTTTTTTTCCCCTGGAATTATCCTTCATTACGTGTCTGTTTTCAATTCTGTTTTCAATTATTTTCTTTTTTTTTTTTGGTACTTTTTGAATATTTATTTTTCAGCGGGCACAACAAACCCAGAGCAAAATGGGAAAGCACTGGGAACTCTCCCTAATATTACCAAAGCCTTTCGGGCTGCTCTGGGGAGCTTCTCAGTCTGCTTTTTTGTTCCTTTTCCCATAGGCGAACACATGTAGGAAAGAAGGGTATTTTGGAAATGTTTAAGGCCCGGTAAGTGAATGTTCACCACGACTCAGGGCAGGCACTGTGTTTCTGCTGAGCTCGCCCCGCAGTGCTGTATGTGGGATCGTGAAGGTTGAAGGCCTTTCTGTCTCCTTTCCAAGTTTTAGCAGCACTGTAGGAACAAGAATCCCGCTGTTTATACAGTAGAAGTTCTAACGAAGCACTGAGACGCTCCATCCCGTGGCTCTTTTGTGTTCTGTCTGCGCTTGCGGGTCTAATCCCCCTCATTTTCTATGCTCTCGTTTTTTATTTTCCCCCCTTTTTGGTTTTTAATTTCTGCTTTCCGATTTCATCGTCAGGAGAGAGAACAGCACAGCGTGGGGAGCTCTGAGCCGAAAGAGTTAAAGTTTCTTGGCACGGGAGCAGCAGTTTAGCAACAGATCAATTCATTTAAATGAAAGAAATCACAGACCGAGCCATCTGATTTTGAAATTTCACATCTTATGGCTCCACTTTAGAACAAAGCTTCTGTTTTTCTTTCCCCTCTTATTAATAATTCACGCCGCTTTTGTTTCAGCCCGTTGCTTTTCACGGGAGCTTTCGGTTGTCTGTAGTCTTTTTTTCTCTCTGCTTGTTTTTTGTTTTTTGTTTTTTTTTCCTCTTAAAAATATGAAATACCGGGGCTGCGTTCGCCTTCTGCGCTTTGCTCTGCTGCAAAGCCAGCCGTAAACCTCTGCTCAGCACAGCTGGTGTCAGAGCTGGTTGCACCCTGGGTGATCGCCGCTTGGAAACATCTTCCATGCGCTGCCCAGCGGGTTGCACACACCTCTGTGTGCTCAGCCATGTGCACAGGAGGGATTTCTGTGCCCGGATACAAGGTGCACAGCCGGCTGCAGGCAGTGTGTGTGCACCAGCAGGCGGAAGGGCTGCATCACTCTGTGCCTTACGGTGTATCTGTGTCTTGCGTGGGAGCCCTCGCGATGTGTTTCATGGCTGGTTAAAGTCTGGGGAGGATCACGAGTAACTTTGGGTGGCTTTTTGGTCATTGAAATGCGTTGGGCTTTGGTGCCAACCCTGATAGTTTGGCTGTTTTTTTTTCTTTTTTTTTTTTCCATTAAGTAAAATGAAATAACTAAATTCATCTACAGCATTTTTAAAAAGGAACGCATCCCATCTTTTACACAATCTCCTTTAAAAAAAAATAATAATAATAATAAATCATTCTTTTCTGATAAATGACAGCTTTTGGTGCAGGGGTTCACAGACCCCAACAGGGTTGGGGTGGCAGCTTTGGCCCCGTAGTGCTGAGCCTCTTCCCAGCATGTTGGGTGCATGAGGGGGGGATGCCTTTGTTCGGCTGCTCCCCAACCTCAGCTCCCCCTGCGTGAGATCCCCGGTGGGGAGGAATGGCTGTAAGTGGATTTTAGGAGTGTGAAGGGGGGTGAGGTAGCACCCTCCACCCATGGCTGGCTGTAGATGTGGGCGCTTTTATGGCTCCCTGCCCTTCTGCCAGATCCCAACCGCGTTGCAGGGAGACGGCAGGGTTCGGAGCGCCGAGCCCGTCCCCCCCAATATCGGACTATTTCTGTGGGTGTCGTTGTGGTTACATCACAGAGCGCTCCTTCCTCATCTCCATTCTTGTGCAAAATTCAAATAATTCCCCCCCCTCCCCGATAGCAGCTGTGCATGGTTTTTTAAGTCGGTCTTTAACGTTGCGAAAGGAACAATAAAATGAAAGGCAAAACCGGCATCTTAAAACTTGGCAAGTGAAAGCAGCTTGGACTGGCAGCCAAGAATCCTGCTGTGGTGCAAAAAGAATAGCATCCACGAAGCCACCACAATCCGGGGTTTCGCTTCTTTTAACAATCGCATCGGCAGCGAGAAATAATTATTCCTTGTATCAGTGTTAAAAGAGTCAAAAAGCTTAAAATGCTTGCTTGGTGAACCTTCTCAAAAGCAGGTAACGATCCTCCTATTTGATTCTGTTTTATCAAACTTTAATTGGATAAGGATCTCTGTATGATAACTAATCAGTGGGAGAAGTGGATGCGTGTTACTAACTAGCAGGGGATGCGTTTGCTGTTACAACTTCCACGGCGCTTTTTTTGTCTTAATCGCTTTGGTGCCGATAGAATTGGCAAAGTTCTGAGATGTTTGTGTTGCAAGAGATGTTTTGTTTCCGTGGGTTGGAATCGCTGCGTTGGGGAGGGCAGGAATGGATCGATCCGAGGTGGAACGTGGAAAATCAGCTTCCCTAAAAAATGAAATTAAAAAGGGGGAAAGTCGGGTGGGGGGAGGAATTCCTCCCGTAGGATTGCCTGTTCCTTTCGCTTCTGAGGCTGCAGCCTCGGCATGTGTGAAGGTGGGATCCATTTCTTGAGATTTGGCCATGAAAGCATCCGTAAATATTTTGTCTTCCAGAAAGCACTGCTCGTCGAGTTGGGCCTAGCAATATGGCAGCGCACGTTCGGTAAGGAATCTCATCAAGTGCTGCTACGAGGTAATTTGGTTTCTCCTCGCCTCTCCACTCACTGCCTTCCTTTTCCTTACAATTTCTTTTCATTATTTCAGTGCAGAAATCTATTGATACAGGTCTTTGTGCTGAAAGTAGAGAGCGTGTGTGTGTGTCTATACATAAATATATGTGTATATATATTTGTATGTATTTACAAGCCTAAATAGACTGGGGAGGGAGGTAAGGAAAAAGAATGGGGATTGTTTTGTGGTTGTTTTTCTTATTTGACTTATTTTCGTGGCAGAAGTACGAAATGGCTGCAAACAGTGCTTTGCTCAGGCACACAATGCATTCCATAATGATCGATTTTCCTGGACAGGGCATTTATGCTTCGTGGTTTGCAAGAATACCACCCACAGACCCAAACCAACGTTGTGTCTTTAGAGACTTTATTTCTCCATGTTGCTTCCTATATTCCTTTGGCTGTAAAGCCAGAGCATGCCAATCTCAGGCGGGCTTAATGCTAAACAAAGGTGTTGTGCATTTTTTGGGTGCCAGGCTCTAGAACCAAAGCTGTGCTGATCCTGTGCTCATCGACATGTTATAAAATTAATGGGGAAGCAAAGCATCCTTGGGATCAGGATATCACAATCCTTTATGTAAGGAGTACAGTCCGTGAGGTGCAGGTGGAGACTTTTTATTTGTGATCTTAGCATTCCAGTCAAATACAGTGCGAAGACGATTGATTTGTTTGCCTACCATAGATTTTCTGCCACTGTGTGTATGTTCATCAGGTTTTCAAAAGGTACAATAGCTGTATGATTGATCAGTGGGGGGAAACCTTTTGAAACCCACATCTTGTGTAATCTTTGGCACTCCTTCAGTCTCCCTGAATATGGTTGATATAAGTGAAATGAATTTTTTTTTCAAGCAGAAACATTTTTAAAAACAATAACAACCCTTGTGTTTCCCTGTTCACTTGCTGCTGCCCCTATCAGTTCTCCGTCTCAGAAATTGTCCATGAGTTTCTTTTGCAAAAGGCATGAGAAGGAGGAGGTTGGCTGCTGGGCACTTGTCATTTGCAGCACGTAGGTGCCACTGAATGCAGTCCGTGTGCCACCACGCTGCCTTTCCTCGGGGCCCACGGGAGCACAGAAGTGGTCGATGAGATTCGTGGTGGGGGCCTGACGGAGTGTTTTCTTTGGCACACATAGGTGCTTTGCTAAAGATAGCTCCTTCTGCCTTCTCTTTCCTTTTTTAACAGCTGAAGCTATGGTGATGGAGCCTAACGCTCGTTCTTCCCTTTTGTTCTGTGAAGCAGTCAGGTAGAGAGGCGCTGGGAGATGGAGGGCCAGGACTGCAGCAGCTCTCTTTTAGGCAGCTGAAGAAAGAGCATATTTTGGTTTTTGGTCGACACCTCCCAGCTGCCCTGACGAGCTCTCAGACGGTCTGCCTTGTTCTGTCTCTGTGATCATTCCACGATGAGGACGAGTTGCTGAAGTGCATTGGGTGCCTGCAGTTTCCATTCAAACCAGTGCAAGCTGAGGGCACACGTCCTGCCACAGGAGGTTTGTGCAGGCCACCCACACGCCACGACTTGGTTGCCTTCAAGGGCTTCAATTATATCCCAGTGGTTAGAAAATGAGTCTATGAGATATTAGGGAGAAAAACAAAGATTTAGAGCTAGGGAAAGCTAGTGGAAGTGTAACCTTCGCATAGGATGTGTGCTTCAGTGAGATCAGTCCCTTCTCACACAAAAAAATAAGGGGTTTCTTTGCCAGCAGAGGCGTGCAGATCATCATACCTTAAAGCATATACATCAGAGTAGAGAAAATTAGGGTCAAAATGCACTCTTAAAAAAATACTGTGTTATGCAATATTGCATTATAGCATGGGAGTGACTTACAAAGGTCTGATGGAAAAAATCCTTGTCATTGTACGAAATGCTGATAGAGGCAGCAGCAGTGTGACTGACTCCTAATACTGTGCTTATTTGGCTCGATCGGAAGGGTCAAGAGACAATCTGAATCACAATCTTAGCTCCCCTGAAATAAATGAGCTCCGTGGTTGGAGGGTTTGGGTTATTTTTGGTGGGGCAGCATTTGTTCTGTGCCGTTTGCAGCTCAGTTCCAAAGGAGTGCACAGTCAGTGTGTTTGTGCATGACGTGACTCTGTTCTGTCTGCAGGACCATGTGCTCTCTGCCCCATTGCCTCGAGTGCACTGCAGGGTGAAGGCTTTTGGAAAGCTGGGGATTCTCATTGCACGCCGGCTCCTACCTAAAAGCTTTCCTGGTTGTGCACAGATGCTGAACTCTTGCACCTCCTGTTCTTGGTCTGAATTTTGGGCTCTGAGAACTGTGGAAAAGCTGAATGCTATCAAGGTAGGTATGGGAGTCTGAAGTGTAGGAATATAAATTTAGGCAATCAGTTTAGTAGGTAACCTTTGGACAGATGGTGAAAGTTTAACATCTCTATTGCTGGATGTGGAGCAAGAGTTGCACATAACTCAGTTAAAGCAGTATTCCAACAAAAGGAAATTGTATATTAATTGCATGCTTACAGGGTGCGCAGGTTGAAGCGTTTTAAGAGCCTACACAAGAACTGGGGGAACTTTTGAAAGCATCAAAATAGCAAAATATTTTTCCACCTGCTGACTGCTTCATTTTATAGGCAGTAATCTGAAGAAAGAGGAGACGCAGCAAGTAAAAATGTGGATACACTTTAAGCAACAATTGCTCTGACTGATTTTGTGCACAGGCAGCCTGCTCTGTGGCTTAATTCCCCACCAGTTGCCCACCCAATAAAACTTCATTAATGGGAAATGTTAGTTACGCCAGCAAGAAAACTTGGAAACTTTGGGGGAAGGAGGGGAGGTTTCTTGCTGGTAACTTTGCTCTACGATTCTCTTTGAGGACTGGTTAGAAAAAATTCTAAAGCAGTTTAATATCTGTCTCTGTCATTGTAGGAAGAAATGCTGTCAGGTAGCAGTGAGTTGGAGCTGGGGGAATTTTCTGGATCGGTTCGTGAAGCAAAAGGATTCTTTCTCTTTAAAAATAGAATGACAATAGCACCCGGCCCTGTAATGACTTCTCTGAAAGTTAAAACAACTCAGAGGCAGTTGCTCTGCTTCCACCGGGCTGCCAGCATGGAAACGAGACCACTTCTTGCGGGATGGGGGTATGTGTTTATTGCACTGCTGTCTGCACACAAAAACTGCTCTTTCTTAACTTGCTGCACCGTTAGCGATACGCTGCTGGTGTTGGCCATGGCTCTTTCAGTGCTGTGTAACCACCAGCGATTCTGCCCAGGGAAGTAGTTAGGAGAAAAAGGGAAAAAAAAAAACCCAAAAAACAACAAACCCGCTGATCTCCTGCTTTCTTTTATTTGTTTTAAAGTTGGTTTTGTTTTACTGAGGTTTTGAAGGAAACTGTAGCAACAGTGCTAATGGTGTCGCAAAGCCAAGAGGCGGCTCTTCCCCCCTGGGGGAAGCGGTGTTGAGGTGCTGAGGGGCACGAAGGCTGCTGCCTGCTAACAGCTCTGACATTTCATTTGCAGAAATGCTTTTCCTCTTTTAAAACAAAAACAAAACCAACAAACCAAAGCCCAAAGCCAAACCTAACAAATTGCAGAAGAGACCCATGCCTGTTGCCACAAACCCGTAGATCCGAACTTGTGGTCATATTCCACACAAGCTTGTATCTATAGGTATGTGTCTGTCTGGCAAGTGCACAAAGTGTTGTGTTTCTGCATTTACACTGATGATGTTCCATTCTGCTGTTTGTGTCTTTCGTCTAATGCCTTCTTCCCTCCTCCTTTTTTTCTTTTTAAGAAATGTAAAAGCAGAGCTGCAGATCTCGCTCTGCAGTTACCGTATCAGTTTCTGGCTTGGGTTAATGTTAAAATACCAACTAACAACTCATTTGTGCCTGAACGAAATGGGACGGGGGAGGTCTGTGACATCAGCCTGAAGAAATGAAATCGCAGCGACGTTACACGTGGGTCTGGCTGTGGGGCATGGGCAGGGGTGGTTCTGAGGTTGCTGGGAGCAGAGAAAGCTGTTTCATTTATCAAGTGAGGGGGATCCATTCTTTGCTCAGTGGCGATTTGTTTGTGGGAGCAAGAGGTGCTTCTGTTCTGTTCTTTATTTTGGGTAACTTCAGTCCCTGTGCACAGTGCAGCTCAGTGCCAGAGCCGCCCGTTGGCTCTCCGTCTCCTTTCTCTCTCTAAAATCAGCTCGGTATAGAAGCCAGGTTCTCTTAATTTTGTGGTATTTATTTCGTTTTAAATGGTTTTTAAAGTAGAGCAGGGGAAAAACCCATGTAAGCACGCAGTAATGAAACCTGCTGGGCAAAACTGACATTTCTAAGTGGAACAATTACTTTTGAAGAAGTTTTTTTCAACCCCAACATACAGATCCTATGTGAAAATAATTAGAATGTGAACTCAAAATAAAGTCTGACTGTTTCTTTCCAGTGTTAATTTCACCAAAGATTTGGTCTGTATTTCCACTTCTAAATTTCTCTGTTTTTGAACTTGGCTGGTTTGACACACGCTGCTGCGGTCCAAAAATGGTTTTTGGTTTTTTTTTTTTCCCCCTGTCTTGCTGAATTTCCAGGGTTTTCTGTGTGTTTTCTGCTTAATGTAGATGCATAAAACAATGGCAGAGAGCTAACAAGAACTGCAGTCTAACTGCTTTTGTTTCTTCGTGTGGATTGAAACTAGCAAGAGGTGACCGAGAAGGATGCAGGATGCTCTTCCATAGTGAAGCCTTGCTGTGATTTACTGCCCTGGACATGCACCTGGAGTCCAGATCTCCCCTGGGCATTGGTTGCCATCACCTGTGAAGTTGCTGAAAGCTCCCAGTGCTCAAACAGTGCTTCCTGACTCCTTCCCCTTTGCTGGTGGACGTTGTATCTGTGGTGGAACGAATAGGGTTTCTCCTGCAGTTGATGCAGGAGGATGAGATTGCATGTTGTGACAGTGAGGTTTGTTTTTTCTAGAGAGGGTGTTATGGTTTTGCTGTTTTTCTTTTGTTTTTAAATGCTGTGAATATTCAGTGTATTAGATTCCTGTGTTTGTGGCTATCAGGGAAGCCTTGGTTGATTCAGTCTGACCTCTGAAGAGGAATGATCTGGCCAAATGCAGCTCCCAATATAATGTGTATTTGTGCATGGTGGTCTCTTCCCTGCAAAGCCATTTGGAGACATCAGGCATCTGGCAATGTGCTGAGAGAAACCTGGAATTTGTCGCTGAGCATTTTGGAGTCTGCCACTTCAGGTGACGTTGTGTTGGGAGTGCCAAAAACCCATGGCAAAGGAATTGGGCTCGTGTGTCACAAAATGAGATACCACCCTTGGGCTTGCGGGGAATTTGAAAGCACACTTTTGGATTAGAAGAATCAGTATTTGAGTCAAAGGGAAGAGTGCAAAACGACTTTGGGTACAATGTTTTAGTGCAGATCCTCACCATGCTGGGCTCTGCTGATCGATGTCCAGCTTTCTCCTTTCGGACAGAGACTTGACCTAACCATGGCTGGATGCTTAGAAAGCAAACATGAGCGATGTGCCATCAAACACAGGGCCAAGATGCCTGCCCATGCTGCTGGGCTCCCTTCTGGAGCTCAGCTTGCTTTCTGGTCGCTGCTGGTTTTCTGCTGCTTGGCAAAGGATAAGGGCAGCTGTGCCCCTGCATAGGGATGCAGCAATTCAGCCCGGTGTGAGCTGGAGATGCTCCATGGTCTGTGGGACAAGTGGACGTGCTGCAGAGCACACCCACAACACGTCACTAATTTTTTAATTTATTTTAGTTAATTTTCCTTGCTAGGCTCCCGCCAGTCTTTTTTTAGCCGTAGCCTCTGATACTCTCCCAGCCTTTGTTTTTCAGCTCAGCCTTTTGAAAAGAGCTGTATTGTGTTTTTGGTGTTAATTTGTATTTCTTTTCCGTTGGTTGTATTTCACTGCACTTCATTAAGTTTTAGAGTGAAACTCGAGTCTGACAAAATGATGGGAAGAACCTTGAAATGTGTCTTCCCTGTAGGACGGAAGAAACTAATTGGAGGCTGCGGTGCTTCTACCTGGATGTTTCTCGTGAATATTTTCCCTCACTTAGTTGATGAGGAGCTCACATTTATGCAGCAGCTTTGATCTGAGTGCCAGACAGAGTGCACAGAGATCTCTTCATCTGTCACCGAGGCACAGCGGCTGCATCCCATTGCGCCGGCGCGCTGCAGGGTCACCATGGGCAGGGAGTGCTGGATGCTTTGCCCAGTTTGATGTTGCAGGGAACAGAAAGAAAGAGAAGGCAGCTACTGGAGCTGGAAACAAACCAGAGCCCCTCATGCAGAATGTAGCAGGAGGGCCTCCGGGACATGAAAAAATCACAATGTCCTCTCAGAAATTGCTACCTTGATCTGCACAGTGCATTCTCTAGCGATAGGCAGTCATTGCTTTAGCACCTCCCAGGAAAAAATGCCTCCTATGGAACTAACCTGGCTACGTGTGCATCTAGGGAAGCTCTGCTACAGTAGTGCTCCGTTTCTCCAGTTAGTACAGAGGCAAAGGTTCTTGCCTGAAGAAGAAAAGCAAACCTTTACCAAAGCCAGCTCCTCTTGTTCTTCAGATTTGGTAAATCACGGTTCTCTCCCTCAAAATAACAAGACTGCTTCTCCTTTCTGTTAATGACATCTTTCACTGAAAGGCCATTTGCAGACAGGTGTGTTGCACAGCATCCGCTGGGGTGCAAGAATGATTTCACTTGTGTGCTCCCCCTTTTCCCAGTCTCATCTGGTGCAGAGCACAGCGAGCGGTGTCAGCAGAGAGGAGCACACAGTAGCATTCGGGTAATTAGGAGAACCATATGCAGTGGCAAATGGGAATCATGATAAGCAGAATGTGATTGTGTACCCTGGAATTTGAACCTTATCCAAACAGTCTTCTTCAGATAATCAAATCTCGTCGAACTCTTAAAAGGCAGATAGATAACTATTTCAGTAATCTGAATTTTATTTATTGTTTTAATCAGTTCTTTGTTCTTTGTTTATTTGTTTTTAATCACTGAGGGAGAAAACAGGGAGAGGATGTTCTTAGACATGGATGTTTGGGACTAAGACCCCCATCCTTGAGCCAGGCAGTCTCCATCCACTTCAGCCCCAGTGATCTGAAGGAGGAACGTCCATGCAAAACCAGCATTGGCTCTGGGACCTCCTCATGCTATGCAGAGTCTCCAACAAGAACGTTCAACCTGGGCTCTGTGAGCTTCCCACATTCCCATGAAGCAGTATGGTGCTGCTCAGCCATACAACAAACCTGGGCCTGTGGGTTTGGGGGGTTATTTAGAGTCATCAGCCCTGCAGCTTGCCTACCAGCATCACTCCTGGGCCCAGCTACTGACACAAAGCTCTTCGTGCTTCAGCAGTAAGTGCTTGGCTACCCTTCCCCTAGAAACTACCAGATCCCGAAATGTGATATTGAGTAAATCTTCAGATTGCTGTAACTCTTGCTAAAAATTCAAGCACGGACCATTTTTGTAATGTGTTGAAAAGTTTTGGGTTGCTTTCATAATATTGTAGCTGCTCTGGATGTCAGCTGAGCCCAGATGAGATTTCTTACTTTAATTTGCATGCTCTGAAAGTCTCAGCTCAGCCCAGCCTCTAGGAGTAAACCTGAGCTGGAGTAAACCTTCAAACCTCTTGAGGTTCCTCAACCGAGTCCTAATAGTGAAGCTGCATCAAGCAAACCTCGAGGGGTGAGCTGATCAGATGGAATCACATCAGCATTTCCATTGTAAAATCTCATCTGTCTGAGGTTTTTGAAAGTCCTCTGTTAAACAGATCACTCCGAGCTGAAGTTTAGCAAACAAGATTTCTGACCTCAAACCGGAACGATATCGTTTGTGGGTTTGGGTATTTATTTTTCTTTCTCCATGACTTCAGGAAATGTGTTTGCTTCAAGAGTATTTTCTGCTTTCCACCTCCTCCTTGGCAAGCCCTGCGGTTGCCTGCCTGGGATCTGAATGTGAAGGTGGGCTCTTCTTTCTTCTGTAGCCTTCATGGTCAAAAAGGCTCAGAGCCAAATCTCAGCTGATGATCTTGCAGCTGATCGTAACAAAACAGAATTCTGCTTCTTTGAGCTCATGTGTCCTGAAGTTCCATTGCTGGTATCATTGCTGTCTCAACTCTGTATGGTCAATAGGAGCAATTGCAAATGCACACACAGTATGGTGTAACTTAGGAGGAGTAATACGTGGGGCACTGCTTTTTGTGTCAGTGTTTTTGGGGGATATTATGCCCTCTGAAGAGCTGTTTTTCTGTGGAACGTGCTGCTTTGCATTGCAAAATGTTTTAAAAGAATGGAATATTCCATTAAATCCTTGAAAAGCAGCACTGGATTAGAATTTTGCCAACATTCTTGGGAAACCAAATGTAAAGTTTGGCTTCTTCCAACACAGAGTAAGAGAGGCAGGTTTCTGTATTCTGCTGTCACCTGAAGTTCTTGGGGGGGAACAGGAGGTAAAATGAGCACAGCTCTGCATCCCTTCCCCATCCAGGCTCCACCTGCACCTCCATCTGATGTTGTCTGGGTCCCGTGGGCTGCCTTTCGCTCTGAAGATGCATTAACTTACATAGGAATGTGTGGCTCTGCATTGCAATGCAAAGCTCCCCACAACTATACTTAATAGGGACTTTTATAACATTGATACGTATCATAATTGAACATTGTCATTAGATTACATATTCACCCTAATTACATAATTAGGTATGATTGTGCTAATTGAGTAAAGACATAATTGACTAAAATCACCCAAAAACAAACATGGGGAGTCACGCCACCGAAAGGCAGTGCTATAATAGACAGCAGTGCTGGAGATCTCTCCTGCTCTCCCAGAAGAGGAACATTCCTGGTTCATAGGCAGTTACCAAGCAGGCAGATGTAGTGAAGGTGCTGGGTGATGGTAATTAGGTGACTTGTGCTTTAATATTTGATCTCAGCTCCTCGTGTCAGTAGTAGCAGCAGATACTCTAATTGACGGCATGACTAGCTGCGTGATGCTTCTTTTCTGCTTGAAATGACTGTTCCTCCGGGGTGCAAATACACTTTCATCCATCCTGGCTTCATCTGAGCTTGAAATAGTGGGAACAGAATATCTCATTCTGAGACCAGGCTCCCATTGATGGCAAATCTCACCTTGTGCAGCAACTGTGGGGGTGTCTAAAAATTGACCAGAGGGTGAGTATGGGACAGAAACTGCTTCAGTGTTTAAAAATACTTCATCTTAAAGTCTCTAGTTTTTTTTTTTTCTTCTTTTCTTTCTTTAAAGCAGCTCTGAAGCAAGCATAGGTCACATACAGGTCCACAGAAAGGCTTGTTTATTCCTATCGCATTGTTTTGAAGGGGCTTTGGATATATGGGAGCTGGTGCAGAGGGATGTATAGGAAGTGGGACACGAATACTGTCTTGGTGAGAGCCCTGCCCCATGCTGGCATGCAGCTCCAGCACCTTGGGGTGGGAGGAAGCCCAGCGGGGTGCAGCTCCCAGCTCCCTACAGTGCTGGGGAGGCAGCGAGAACGCTCCTTGAGTGAGTGCCAGCGCAGAGCTGACAGCTCAGGGCTTGGGAAATGTGGCAGTGAGGAGGAAGCTGAAGTTGTGATGGAAGGGAGGCAGGGAGAGGTGGCGAGTCAGGAGCAAAGCAGTCACGGTGGCATTTGCCAACCTGCGAAAAATTTAGGCTATTTAGGCTCAAGGTGAGAATACTGCT